ATTTGCTATTGAAATCTACCATGAGCCACATTACGTCATTTAGTCAGAGAGTGGTGATGTGAACGGTGACACAGTTAAACATTTTCATTTGCTCTGTTGAATAAAATGGCCTAAATAGTTTCAATACCCAATGATCACACCAGCCATTGCAACAATTCCTACAATATTAATATTGCGCTATAATGAAGCATGCACCAATGCCATATAACTAAGAAGATTTTAGTAAGGGGCTGTAGTGATTCTTTCTGGTGGTTGTTGACCGTCAAAAAGAAAGAGGAGACAGTTGAAAACTCAAAAACCAGCTTGTTATGTGTGTGGTTACTTCTACTTCAGAGCAAATCATGTTGGAGAAGGTGACAGATGAAGGTAACGTAATCTACCTTCACCCAAAACAAGTTCCTGTGCCACTTTGGGAGTTTACTCTTTCCTTAAAAAAAAAAAAGACAAAATATGAGTGGACTACATGTAACGCAGAATTACAAGCAGAAAAAGACCCTGAAATTTGGTTGGATTTAAAGTGTCTGTCATGGACTTAACACAGAATAAACAAATTTTCGCACATTATTTGACAATGATGGCAAAAGGCATGTAACTAATTCAATGGTATTTGGTTTTGAAGTTTATCAAGTAATGAACTGTTCTTCCCTTGTTGTCACAGTGATGGTTTTAGGACTCAAATGCATACTCAAAAAAGAAAAAGATGTCACTGACAAAAGTCGAGGAACAACAAAAATGCACTTGAAGGAGGGAAAGACCAGGACTTAACACACATAGGGAAAGGAGCAACAGGTGAGACAGCAAAGGCACAGGTGAGACTAATGTGTAATCAACCATGGAGGGAAAACTAATGAGGCAAAACTAGACTTGATACACAAGGATTGACAAATACAAAATAGAACAGGAAATGCTGAAAACTGCACTAAGAAATCACTGTTAACCCAAGAACAACAGGAACATAAGATGAACACAGGGAACAGAAACGCTCAGGAAAATACATAGAAAATACCACTAAATTACAAAATCAGGAAAAAACTGAACCAACAAGAACCAATCATGACATGTTTGTCTTTCCCCCATTCTGATCAAAAGCAGAGTGTGAGTCCTCCAATCTGATACTGAGACAGCCTTCATTGTGACTTATATTTCTGACATGTACAAAACAAAACAAAAAACTATCAACAGAAGATGGATATTCCAGGGTATATATGTTGTACATAACATGACACCGTGGAGCACAGTTACAGAGTCAGTGGTGGGCATTTTCTCAGCACAAACAAGTGAGGCTCCCAGAGGTAATAAAAAAAATACTCAAGTGCTGCTGGAATAAACTAATGAGTGAGTTTCTTGGACTTGGAAAAGTTATGTGAAAGTTCCCTGGAGTCAGGACCACAACTGCTGAAATCCTGGAACATTTTGGTCCTAAACTTGACAATCCTGTTGCAAAAAAATAAAGCAGACAAACATGAATTGGTTCTCCCTGGGCAAAAACTTTTATGTTTTGGCTGCATTCATAAATATTTTGCTTACATTACCTTTGCAACATGATTTTTGCTGTTGTTTTCCTGAGACTGTCTGAGGTTAGCACTGAGCAGAGAAGCTACATTTATGAGCGTACCAAGCTAGAAAGTTGACTTCCCTCTGAATGTCCAGGTCATTGTACAAAGTACAAGCACAATTATATCTCCATCTAGCAGAGGAAGAGTGTTGGGACCTGTCAGCCCTAAAAAATCAATTCCTTTACCCCATATGGTTTGTCATCATAAAGGACAGTCAAGGCCACATCTGGGCCAACAGGAAGTCTGTTTTTTTTCCTCTGTCTTCTACAAGAGCCCACAAAGTCATAGGCATAAACAGACAAAACAGCAAAGTGAGAGAAGAAGAATAAAGTTGATGGATGGATCTAAATCATAAAGTAAAAGTTTGTTAAGCTTTGGCGACATCTTTAACTTTACGAAATGTCATTGAGGGACCGCCATGATATATAAACCAGATTAATCACGATTACAGGAGCAAACATGGGGAACAGTGTGATACCAAAGGGTACAAGCTGATGTTTCCATTCTTTGGTGACAAAAAGTTTATGGATGAAAACTTTCAGAAATACGGTGTTCTCTCAACATGCATTCATGGCCCTGTCTGTGGTCTCTTAAAGCTCCTGTAATGAATTTTTGGTTTGTGTAAATCTCAGCACCCCCTGTGGACAAAACAGTCTCTGCTTATCTTGTCCTTTACTTGATCAAGTACTAACTTCTGACTAAAAGTCTCATGCTGTTGACTTTTGACAGTCAAATGTACAATTCTTTGTAAATGTGTAATGTGCAAATTTTAGAACTGGGTGTCCTCAGCTGCTTCACCAATGGCCCCACCTACTCACACAAAGATTTGGGGCCATTTAAGGAAAATGTGAATGCAGAGTAACTACAACCACACCTGGAGATCACTTAAGTATGGCAAAATAAGACTTTAAAGGGATATTCCAGCGTAAAATTAAGTAAGGGTCAAACACACCAAAACACCAAGTTAGACACCCCCTCGAGAGATGAATGTTGGGGATTGCTTGCTTCTCTTGTTATACCAACTACAGCAACAACCAAACAATAGCAATACACAGCTGTCTACATCTCCACACACAAACCTCAACCAAAACGCCACTCTATAGTCACAAATAATGCTCAGAACAGCACCTAACTTCATCAACAGTACATATAGAGTCCCAGCCACAGTACTAGCCATCAAACATCTTTTTAACTTTGCCTAATTTCTTTAGCAAAGAGACCTAATGCAACTCACCCACTCTCCTCCAGCAGCCGCTTGTTTGTGGGGGAGCCCTGATGAGTCGATCACCGATTGCGGCAGATCATTTCATCATAAATGCTCTTCCTCGAGCTGCGACACTCCACTGTACTCAGTGACTGACTTGTTAGGACAAACCTAATTTTAAGCAAACTTAATTTTACACTGGATTATCCCTTTAAGACCAATTATCAGTTAATTGATTGGAAACCTCACTGATAAAAGTGGCCAATGGAGACATCATTGTTAGATCAATTCGTGGTAACCGAAACAAACTGTAACTCAACAGTGGCTATAAGCAATTTCTTTGTAACACAACTCAATATATCTGAGTAAAGGTATTTTCCCTGTACAGAGGAGCCATACAAATGTCTGTCCCAGATAAGACACCTGTGGTCTGGCCTCCTTGCTGCAAAGTTGAAAGTCTTGTTTTATCACCAAGCTGCCAGCACAAGTGGTGAGAGAAAACATGATGGTATTGTGTTACCAGCCATCTGCAATGCAGCTTAAAACACTTAGCCTGCAACCCAAAACGCCTGCATGTGTGCACGCCTGCCATTATTCTGCGGTTTCTTCCAGGCTGCACTTGTACCGCATCATCCTCGCCCACCTGTACAGTTTAAAACAAGGTGGGATCAAAGCCCTGCATGTAGCGTAATGGACAAACCATGTATAAGCTCCAAAAGGGATATGAATCAATGTGTGACTCTGGCAAATGTTAGCAGAAATAATATACGAAAGCCCCTCAAGACAAGACGGCTTGCTTCCCCTGCACTACAGACTCCAGTTCCACCTCCTGCAAGTTGAAAACAAAGTGAAGAGGAGTGTAAAAAGGGGGCTTGTGGCAAGGACAGGGGAAATGTGTGACTGTGAGGAGCCTGCAAGCAAAGCAGAGTGTGTGTGTGTGTTTCTATAGTGTGTGCAAATTTTGGCTAATAGGCCTGGAAATGATGTTGCTGGTTTAAGCATGGCTCCCTAGTTTAATGGTAATTAGACTTTGCTTTTGGTTGCCTCTCCCGTTGCCTGTCAACATCATGTCACAGCAGTGGTCTTTTGGAGAGACACTGCCTGAGAGGCTCTTTTCACTGGCCAGGACCCAGCGTCAGGCCACAGACACGGGGGCAGAGCAAATCACACAGCGCTGCAAGACACATGACTTCAAAGACAGTGAGGAGGGGGGCAGAGCTAAAAAGGAAGTGATGTTAGTGGGAAATGACAGGCACTGATAATAGGGATGGGTAATTTTGAGCTCCACCAGTGTCAGGTGCCATCACTGTGTAAGTGAGACACTAGGCTAGCTTTTGGCAGGTTTACAGAGGGAGTAAATATTTATAGTTCATATCTGACGTAAGTCAAACACAATATGAGTCATGCAAGTATATGCTTTATCAGATTTTGCCAACCTTTTACCACTAACGATTAAGGCCGGGAGATAAGTGCTAAAAGACAACACAAACACTACTTTCTGAAAACACTACTTTTATGTACAAAGGAAAGCATATAGAGGTATCGCTTTTTCCACAGACGACGCTAAAACCAACACAAACCAAATGCTAAGACTTTTTTTTTTCCTTTAAATAAATAATTAATTGGATTTATTTTATAATGCATCCACTTTGATTAGTCTGATCAGTTATACATAGAGTTATACATAAATTTGCATTCTTGGCGGTACAGTAGATGGGGAATCGTAGCTGTTTTTTCCAGGAAGCTCAATATGATCCCTTTGTCTGGGTTTAGGTAAGGCTGAGTCAGCATGTCCCATATAGAAACCATTGGTTAATGTCACTTAAATCAACACTCTTTGCTCAACTCCTCTGATATGCGAACATTCTGCGAGGCGCCTCATGCTGATTGATGCCATCATGCCAGAGATATCTGGGTCACTACTGCCGGTTTTCTTCCATCCATCCGTCTTGCTATTATTCAGAGGTGTGTCTCTATTAAAGCCTTTAGTTAGTAAATCAAAGTACAGTGGATTGGATTACATGCTCTGATTAGATACTGATTAGATGAACAGTCTGACACTGATGAGTCAATAAGCTGCTATTTTAAATCAGTACAGGCTATTAATGCCAGTTTGCACAAGTACTAATCAGATGTACCCCATGATCAAAGTTAATACATAACAGAGGCGAGGAAGATATAACAGGTAAAGGGTAAAACATTTTACCTGAATAGAAACTGACATGATGATGACATAATTCTCATTTTAAAAGAGAAATAGAGCGAGCACAGTCTCCTCTGTTTAACTTCTAATGGTGATATCACAGTGTACTCTGTACATTTCTATTACCCCAGCAAAGTGAGAGCTACAGCTAACTTTAACAAACCTGCTTTGGGCAACAAGATGCTCGTACTTAGCTCCTAATCGACTAAATATAAAAAGTAAATATAAAATCCAATGCTTTGACCAAGAAGCAACCTCTAACGTAAAGAAATAAATAAATAAATAAATTTTAAAAAAAGTGAAAAACTGCAGTTAGAGTGTATGCTCCAGAGTGGCTGCAGAAGTCAGGGGGAGTGTTTCAGTGCCTGCCTTTCTGCCAGCAGAAATAAATATGTGGACAGCCTTGTACAAAAAAAATGGATTCTAATCTAGCCAATTTTATTTTCCTACACTGTGCACAGTTTGATTTTTTCATGACTCGTTTGTTTTGAAGATATCAAGATTTAAAGGTTTTCATCGCCGGGCATAATGAGGTCAAGGAAAAGTATTTATAAGGAGTCAGGAAAAGACAAAGGCAGCTATATTGAACTCGGCGGATGTTCTGATGTTGAGTGAATCTGCTCTGTAAAAACTATAAACTACCGCAGATGCTGACTTCAGAGGACTATTCAATTAAACCACTATCTTTTTACTCCTTTTTGGGTTGATAATAATAAGGTTATATTGGCATTCCAATAAAGATGGTGCTTTAAAACAAATGGGTGCCATCATAGAGACTTTGTCCAGCTTCTTTACAGTCAATAGTTTTACCTTGTTATATTACAATCATTCAGCTTACTCTTTTAAGAATCACCAAACTCTGTCAAATTCATGGACTACAGCTAAAGCTAAACACAACCTATTCTGTCAACACAACCCCCCAGACGGTGAATTTGTAAAAACATCACTGTAGCTTCATATCTGCGCCTCTTTGGAGTATTGCATCAAAACCCCATTGCTTCAAGCTCTCTCTCTCTCTGTCTTAAACTAAAATGATGAGCAAGTATCCAGGAAGCTTAAAATTACAAACATGAATACTAATACCCTGATATGGAAGCACACCCAAATGGCTCAAGCAGATAATTCCTCGTCCAACACTGTTCATTAGCACTTGGCAGTGGAGAGAGGCTCTGTAATGATTCTGCTGACATCATTACAGGCCCTGAACATGCAGAAACATCAACAGACAAAAACAGGCTAAGTGCTGGTTGTACAGCTCATGTCAGTCCTCCTATCATTGGGTAATTCTCCTGTATTGTTGCATGATTACTTCTTAGAGTATGTGGTTTTCTTGAAGTACTGGCAACTGATTAGAGGACCACGGCTGGATTACTAATCAGGCGAAGCAAGGAACTGCTTCAGCAGCCAAGACCCCCATGGGTCCCTTTCTCCTGAATGCCCTCGGTTCAGTTCTGTCAGTTGGTTTGCAGCAAATTAATCACATGCAAGTTTCTTTTCCAACTTTAAGAACATGCACGGCTAAATTACTGCATCAAGTATGGAGAAGGCCTGAGTCAACATATCTGAACTGGTTCTCATCCACTTAAAAAATGTCAGGCAGTGATGGACAGTCAAAAAAAAGAAAAAAAAAGAAAATTGCACATATCACCCTCTAATGTAACTTAATTGCTGATTTTGGTGTCCAATGCATCAGCCTCAACACAACTACGAGACATGAGAGGGAAGCAAAGACCTCACTTTCCTAAAACTACTCCAAGCCCATATCAGGCGCCACAAAGTGCTTCTTCAAACAGTTTTCCACATTTGCAAAACTGTACGCCAGTTTTAAAGTGATGGATCACAAAGAATTAACCAACTTTGTTCATAAATTTAAAAAGATATTATATATGAATTGAAGATACATCCATTATTACATGTCTGCACTGGTTAGGGCTTCAACCCATATGAGATGAAAAGTTTTTTGTGTTGTTTTTTCTATTTATTATTATTTTTTAATTTTTTATTTATTTTAGTCCTCCTGTGTTAAGTCCATACTACATTAAGGTGCACAGTAGATGCTGGAGGAGGAATCTGAGTATATGCACCACCCATGACCTTAGAATAAAAAGTTTAAGTTTGGGTTGTAAAATAAACCCTAGGAGGTAAGCTGCACTACCAGATTTTTATGTCTGCTGGCTAACAGCATATCTCATTTAAAAAAAAGGAAGAAAAAAAAAACCCACAAATGTTAACAGTTACAGAATAAAACAGAGCCATTGTTCGTAACTTTTATCATTGAAGATCGTCATTGGTGGTGGCTGAACCTCGTGCATTTTCACAACATGTAATGTGGCTTTCGTATGAAGGGTTGGGACACCCTTTGTTTGCAAAGAAAGGGTCTTAGGGTGTTTTCACACTTGAAAGTTTTGACTGTGGTCCATGTTTTTGTTACATTACATACATTTGGTTCGGTCTGTTTAGGTTTCACACTTTCATTATCGCAAACCAACTGACAGACTTTACATGACGAACCTACGTGATATCATCATCAACAATGTGCATTGCTTGTCTCTGCACTGATAGATCATTAGGCCAGCAGGGGCATCTGACATCAACACGTTGAAAAGCGTGGGTGTAAACATGGATAAAATCGCCATTCCCACCATCGTACTATTTTTGATTTTCTACCTCCAACAGTGACAACTTGAAGAGCTGTGCATGAGGCTGGTCCGAGGAAGTCTCATGAACTTGAACATTAGACGACAACTTAATTGACATCAACAAGTAAGGAAAAGAAAGAATGCAATCCTGTGACTCATTGCAACACCGGTTTGGGAGAAAAGTATGTGCTGTAAAACTCTTGAAAAGATAAGCTGTCAATCGTGAGGTATAACTTTATCTACAATATTATAAAAATCCATTCAACATAATAACGGATACTTCTACTCCTCGTGTAAAAAAAAAAAAAAAAAGAAAAAAAAATCCTGAATCATTTTTTTGCTTTCTGCTGCTGCTGAGTCTACCTGCTGCCACAAGTGTTAAACACATAATTTTTCTTTTTGCACTTAATAAATCTTGTTAATCTCAAGCACCCTTCATTCTGAGCTGGGTGTATAAAAGATTAAAAAAAAGGCAGTTTGTAAAAAGGTCATCAAATACCAGGCAAACGGTGAAACATACAGTTATGACATGTTATTTGCAGCTTTAAGTTAAAAGTTAATTTTAGAGATGTCATGTAGTTGTGTTCCTTTGTCACTGTCAAATCATTCTCAACAACAAAAGATTATCTGACCAACAGGGATTCATCTTGGGACAAGAAAACAACTTTAAATTAGTAGCAAAGATTTCTTTTGTCTGCTTTCTCCTGCACATGCTGAATTGTTCCCCTCTGATTTTCTCTCTCCCTCACAGTGTGGCACCTACAAAGTACCACACCAGCGTCAGGCTTGGCTAGTTTCCATTCGATTTCCCCTCCGGGTCATCCATCGGCCTGGGGACGTGGTGAGCTGGAGCGCCCAGCCCCGAGGTGATTAACAGAAGAAAGATGGCTGCAGCTTGCAGCGTAAATCCAAAGGCGTTTCAGGTGGAACACGGCTGCTTGTCTAGCAGTGAAGAATGGGGGAAGGTTTCACCCAATCCAAGAATGAAAAGCTCTCTCCTTCTCTCTGTCCTTACTCTATGTTCAGTCCTCTTTAAACAAAGGAGAGCAGCGGGGGATGGGGATGGGGAATTAAAGAGGATATTTTTAAATATGCCAGACAGAAAGCAACACTTATAGAATTGACAGGAAAAAATAAAAAAGTGTGACACAGGCTGAAAGAGCTAGAGTGAAAACCTTCGCACCCTGGGGTGACATTAGTGAACCCCATCTGTTCGACATCTGGCAAAAGGAGCCAAACATGAGCAGCCAGCGCAGGAAATCTTAAATTTAGCAGCCAAGCACACAGAGGGCAAGACAAGGCTCCATCCTGCTCCTGCTGCTGCTGATGGAGACGACTACCAGGAAAATTCCTTGTTCATCACCAGCCAAACACAAGGTCCTAACCAAAGCCACCAGAGAGGACCTCTAGATCTGCGATAAAAAAGATCCTTCTTCTTTAACCCGACCATCAGTTCAACCTGAACACTTTAGACTACACAAAAACACCTGTATCAGACTGAGGATACACACTTTGGTCATCCTTTTAAGACACACAACTTCAACAGACTTTTAACAACACGGCAACTAGAAATTGATAACAACTAGACCAACCTGAATGATCAAAACTGTAATTTTGTCACTGTCCTCTACAGCATTATCATGGTTCCCGGTCCCATCTACAGAACATTTACCAGGACTCTTCAGGACGCAGCAGGAGTGCATTGTGCTTGCTTCTGGATATTATGATGCCAACCCATCCAAAAACTGAGACACTTTGATTTGAAGGTGGACAAATAAGTTGTTTTTGATTCTAACCACCAAGTTCTCACTGAGATGCCTCTGTTGAACCAGCCTAACCAGAACACCTGTTTATATTCCTAACCAGCCACGCTGCTAATAGTGTTACTAGCTGCCTGTTTGAAAGTCTATTCAATACACAGAAAAAGTCCACTTACTTGTAATGGAAAGTGAGAGAGGAGATGAGAAAGTGACAAAGGAGAAATCTCCACCAGCAAAGTGAGTCAGACAGCTGGGGTGAAGTCACGCATGAACCCCGTCAGTTCTATGGACATGCCATGGTTGCATTAATGAACAGGCTTTAAGCTCTAATAGCAACTTTGACTTTTACTTGAACGAAGTCACACTCCAGCTCTCAAGGACTTCCCACTGCCTGTCATCACATTCTCATGCATTCCTCTAAGATCGACAGAAACATTAAAGTCTGACAGTGAATCCAGCTCTTTTTGGTCTTCAAAGTTGGGGGTAACAACAACTGCTTAATGGTATTGGTTTTTACAACCTGTGAATTACAGTACAGTTTAAAGACACCTTGTGCTGTCCTGGAAAGTTACATATCAGAGCTCTCCGAAACAGGTGACACCATGTCAAAGGGTTCAATGAGGTTGAGGGTCACAATCTAGCAATGACCACGGTTTATGGACAGTATGGAGAGCAGGCTGCAACCACCCCTAAAAGGTAAGGTGACCAGACATCCCAGATTTCCAGGGATAGTCCCCGTATTGGATGGCCTGTCCCCGGCTAAAGCTGTCCCAATTTAGGCGTTTCATGAATGGGAACAAAAATGTAGACTGGAACAATGATTGTTACGGGAGCTGAGTGGGTAGGAATGTTGTGCGCAGTCCTGAACAACAGTTATATATATATATATATATATATATATATAAATATATATATATGCACATATATACATATATACATATTATTGAATTTTTTTTTTTTTCAAGATGTGAAACAAGGTCCTCATCCTCACTTAGTTACAGCTGACTTCTCATAAAATGTTTTTTGGATTATTTTCTCAAAAATGAATTTGAACTTTTTGTCCTACATTGAATTTGATATTTTTCCATTTTGTTACCATTTAAACTTTATTTCCCAACACTCCCCTTCTGTAAATAAAAGCTCTGATCTGAGTTGAAAATAACCTGATGAAAGCCCCACCGCAGCTGTAGCTACACTATTTCAAAGTTTCCAATAAATGCTGGACTCATTAGATCAATAGTCACTTCTTAACATGGAAACCCTGTTTAACACTGACCAAAAGGATTCAGTGAGCTAAAAGGGGATTATAGATTTAATCCACAGTTTGAAGCCATTACAATGATCATCCGGCTCTTTCAGGTAGTTTGACTTCATGATGCTATTAAAGTAATTGCAGGGATGCTTAAAGTTAACACAATCCCATTTAGTCTCTGCACATGCTTGATGTTCCTGCTTGTTTTCCCTCTTTTGTAATTGCTTCATTTCTCACATTTACCTCCTCTATGTAGCGGCTTAACAGCAATAGTTTAATGCAGTTTATCTAATGAGACACAAAAGCTCATGGGACTCTTAGAGACTTGAAAAAAAAAGACTTCTATCTTCTCGGTTTTAAAACATGCAGTGCTTCAACTCACCTGTTAAATGTTGTCCTGCCACTTTGTATCCCCACGTAATTTAAGGAGGAATAACAACAAAAATCTTTCAGGAGTTTTATCTCGCCCCAGTTCGAGAGGGGGGAAATTGACTTGAAGATTGAGAGACAAAAACAAAACACGAAGTCAGATAGGACAGCTCCAAGACGTCAGACACCAAAGAGCAAAGCAGCTTAAAGCACAACAGAGATGTAAGATAGAGCCACTGAAGGGTCACCAGAGATTACCAAAGAGGAGAGGGCACTGCTGTTTAAACCACGTCCCCCTGGAACTAAGACAAATTGGGCTGTAGTCAAGTCTCAGTGGCCCCTCCAAGTGCCTGTATGTCTCGGAGGAGGAAGCCAGCATCTCCAAAGCATTAAAGTGGAAAAAGCAACGCCACTGCAAGAATTTAATGAGGATGGCTCTGCACTGTTCTCCACTCAGTGTGCCACACAACACTTCTTGGCATCTAGTGGTTTTCACTCTCTCTCTCTCTCTCTCTCTCTCTCTCTCTCTCTCTCTCTCTCTCTTCTTTAGTCACTGTCTTTGTTACCACTGCCCACGCTGGAGGAGAGGATATGCAGGGCTGAAACCTACCAGGATCAACTCAGTCATCAGAATTAGGATGCACTATTTACCATCTGCACCAAGTATGAGACATTTTATCCGTCTCTGCACCAGACATGTAAAAATGAGTAATCCTTCAGAGTGCATGAAGACGTATAAATAGTCCCCTACTGTTGGACTGTTAATCTGATATTGAAAGCAATGACCTCTTATCCTTGGAGTTTAATAGAAAATGAATCATGTACAGACAGAGGTGTTACTGTACAAAAACATTTCAGTTTGGGATGATTTATGGCGTTGAAGTCTGGGTTTGGCACAGAAAGAAGCTCAGGCCGAGAAATTATGTTCCCCTTTTTCAGGAAGTCAAAGAACATTTATAAATTGTCTAAGGTGGGCTTTAGCAGTTCAGGTAGGAGATGAGACTAACTCAATGGCATTTGGAAATATATAATATCAAATAATGTCTGCAATACAGAGATTGAAACCTAACCTGATCAAACTGTCTTTACATCAATTCATTAAAGCCTAAGAAATGTCTTTTTTTTTTTTTAATTCATTAAATGAAGCATAGCGTTAGTTCTGGCAGGTCACGACGTCAAGCGCTGATCCGCAGTTAATGAAAGGTAGCCACCCCAACCAGCTGATGGCCTCTTCCTCTGCTTCGACAGGCAACCAGCAACCCACCTCCACCCCAGCTCCACCCTTGTGCTGGCTAAACTGCTCCACTACTCTTAAGGCACTCCTGTTCCAGGGGGGGTTCTGTTCATCGCTGCTCTACCCCCTGTTGTTTCTGCCTTCATGATGCCTCATGAAGGCCGGGAAGGTGCTCTTCCTGCCACTGGCCTTTCACACATGCTTGCATGGAGAACGGAGGGCCCCGAACAGAACCTTGCATGTGCTCCCTGCTGTCACCTTTTCATGACAGCTCGTGAAGGGCAGGAAGGGGCTCTTCTTGCCTCTGGCTTCCCCACAAGCGCGTGGAAGGGCAGGGACCCAGAACAGAACTATGCCGCCAAATTTAACTTGGCACAATAAAGCTGAATTTTGACAGTGATCCTGACTGAATTAATTAAAAACAATCTTAAAACATGTTACAGGCTCATGTGACCATGTATACCATGTTGTAATGTGCATGGAGTGTGTCATTACAAATGTGTTGTTGTAAATCAAATGGAGAAAATGAAATAGACTTGCATTTCAGTTATCATCATGACCAATTGAAAATATAAAAATTAAAAAAAAAAAAATGTGTGAGTTGAACACAAAATTCATTTTCAACAACATTTGAAAAAGGATTGGATTAAGAAAAATAACAAAAACAAAATAGAATCAAAAATAGAATAAAAGAGGAATGGAAATTTCAGTCTACTTCTACCAGTCACCAAACACAGGCAGCTTTTCAGTAAAACTGAACTGAACTAAACTGTATTGACCTGCCACATAATGGGTACTTGTACCCTAAAGATACATGTATTTAATAGTAACCTTGCTGTGACTGCATCAATTTTGCTGCATTTTCGGGAAAGCTGCAGCATCTCTAAATCTCCACAAATATATACACCAAAACACACAGTCAAGCACTAGTGCTTATTACACTGCATATTAGGTACGCTGCTAAGACTGAGTGTCAGGACTTGAGGACAGGCCAACCAAGTAAAGGCCAATCTATTTTCTTTCTAAAAAGATTGATCTGTATATTTTTCCCCCCCAACAGATGACGTATTTCACTCTCTGTCACTGACACACACTCCAGTGAACTCATAGCACTAAACTGATCATTTTTCTGTTCTTTTCCACATTCTTTATTTAGTATTTAAATTGATATAACATATTGATGCACAAAATCGATGTAGTACTGCACAGTAGTTCAACACATCACTCCCACACAGGCTGTTGTTTTAGTGTAAAGTCTGCTCATATAAAGAAGTAGAGAAAGCTACAGTACATCAAGTCATCACATCTTCGCCTGTTCTGCAGACTCTCAGTGAACCGACTATAAACAATTCAAGAATCCCAACTGTGAACACACAGAGGGCAGCAGTCTTGTGTGTTATTCATGTTGACTATGGTTGGGGTTTTATGTTTTTAACTGCAGGAAGGGATGGGGAGGTTACAGAGAAAGTAGGCAATGAGAGACTGTGGACTGGAGGAAGCAGCAGGGCAGCCAATCTTAAGATCCAACCGCAGAGGATGTCTGGATGGTTTGATACAAGATAAAAACATCAAAATGCTACAAGGTCTTCCAGGGTTGGAACTGTTCTCAACATGAACATGACCCTGAGTTTGGATGAAGAAATCCCTGATTGAAATAAGTTTGAAATCAAAGATCCTTATTACCAGTGGATTTATTTTTTATTTCTTACATTTTATTTAAAGAGCTTACTGTACCCACTGAGCGCTGCAGTGGTTGGCACTGTCACCTTACATTAAGATGGTTAATGCTTCAGGCTCAAATCCCCAATAACAAAAGCATGGGTCTCCACTGGTACACCCCCCCCCCCCCCCCCCTTCCCCACCTCCTCTCACAGTTCACAATATCTGCTTATAAGGTTGAAGGTCATTTTCAATTGACTGCAGGTTTGCATACAAACGTGTTGTTGTTAGTCTCCCTGTGGGAATCTAGAGATCAATAAAGTATTATCTAAAGTATCATCTTGTCTCATGTCTGCCCTGTGATTGACTGGTAAGTGGTCCGGGATGTGCCCCTGCCTCTTTCCCACTGACAGCTTAAAGTGCCACTCAGTTTTTTATTTTTTTATTTTATTTTTTTTAACTACTTAAAAATGTTCTCAAAGGCCTTTAAATTGTGATGATGAAGTTTAGATTGTGTGTCATTTTCAAGGGCTTTTCTTCTGCAGAGCTTCGGTAGCTTATTAGCAATTTGCCTCTGAGTCATAGGCGGAGACAGCGCTGCTCTGCACACTCCTCTTCACACTAGCTTGTAGCCTAACATCGCAAGTGTCATAGAAGAAGCAGGTAACATAGGAGCTATTCAGCTCTCAGACACTAATATCATAATTAGCTTCCTTACAAGCATTGCAATCTGCTACCGCACACGTTTGTTCTGCGATTGTCCTCTGTACTTTTCAGAGCCTGGCCTGCATAGCAGGGCTCTGGGGCGGAGCTTGGATTTGTGACGTATGAAATCTCACTGTGTCTGAGCCTGCTGTTTGGGTCTGCTAGAGCGATTCTAATGCAGAAATACTCAGAAATAAAATTTTGCACTTATTTTTCTTATATGTCCTGTAGCATCAGAAAATTGTGATATGAACATGTAGACAACAAGAAAAACATGATTTTCATCAGAGTGGATCTTTAAGATGGACTTCAAGCCACGAGACTCCCAAACACGTTAGAAGGAATTTCTCATAGATGTATTTATATATTGATTTGATTTGTCTTTCAGATACATGCATTGGTATTCATTTTAGTGTGCATATAGCTCATATAGCTAAAATAGCTCACCACTACAGACTCCCCGTGACTCTTGGTTTGTGCTTGAGGTGCCACTCAAGGAGGATTATTTGCCTCAATGTTACTCTTCATTGTTAACCCCACAGGAGACTTCAGACCAGAAGGTCAAAGGCAGAGTCACTTTCAAACATGTCTAAGGTTTGATAATGCACCTACACTTTGACAAAAAGCCTTCAGTAAAAACATGACAACCTTCGTAAATAAGATATAGAAATCCACAGTTGGTTTCATCATAGGTTTGGTTGTCCCTGTACTTCTTTTCTATCTAACCTTGCTTCTAGCATAAATACATTTACTCCTGACTCCATCCACTACCTTGGGCCAAATCTCCCACAAAAACCCTTACAGATCTCCTCTGAATGGCTCTACGGAGCACAGCACAACACCAGAAATGAAAAACTGAGCCAAAACGGAGGTTTGTCCTCCCTTTGTAAATATTTGATCAAGGTAGAAATCCTGGGCAGCCATGAGATTGAGATTGGAGTGCAGGCATTGACTTTTATTTGGGAGCTGCTTATGTGAGATCGGGAGGGGGGGTTAATTTAAGGAGCGGGAGGCAGGAAAGCTTTCAGGCGAGGGGGGCAGTCTGTGCTGAAAGTGGGGGAAGGGGTTGATGGATGAACATTCTCAACACTGGGCTGATTGAGTGGTAAAACAAGCTTTATGTATTAATGCTTGGTTATAATCCAGAGAAAGCACACTGACAGCAGTGACTGAGCTGAACTCTCCAACACAGTCTGCCTTTTTGAATAAAAAAAAAAAAAAAACTTTCCACAATCCCTTTGGAGAAAATCCTTGAATAATCTGTTTGGTTAGGAGAACAGTTTTCACAGTAATTCCAAGTTTACCCAGTAAAACTGGGACAAACGTCCTTAGCCAAACTGTGGGGTAAACACCAGATAGATAAAAGCAGTTCACAGTTATCTCAACAGCAATGCTGACCAAAAGTAAAAATAAAAGAACGAGTGGACCAGACCAAATGTACTTTTTAATTGGGCTATGGTGTGTTTAATTACGAGAGGGTTTCATTGAGATATTTTAGGATGATATGTTTGATCTGTACTCTTTTTTTTTATAGATACTGTGCCTTATTTTTTTCTAATTCTTATCTAGTCAATGCACTTATATTATTGAGTTCATGTCCACAAAGAAAGTTAACATATTTGATTGGATCTGCACGTTTTTGGTCATTAACTAAACATAATGAAGCTGCTTTTCAGTTTTAGTTCCAACCAACAATGACAAGTATGGAGCACAAAAACTGCATTTATATTCTGCATTTGGACTAACCTCTTACCCAGAAAAAAGTGGTTGAAATGACGTCTTCACTGTTCATCTAAACAAGATCTACATTTTGGTTGAAAAATGGAGGGCGAAAAGATGTAATCTTCGTGTCGTTGAAAAGATTTCTCTATCGGGACGTCACCCTTACATTGAAATTTGGCTGAAAAGTCAAAGGTGAAAAGACAGAATTTTCAGGTCGTTGGAAATACGCCTGTTAGAGCCCAATATGTAACAATGATATATAATAATATTGATTTATACAATTGCAATGCCTTAATTTTAGTAAGATGAGTACACAGTCATAACCATAAATGCACTACTAATAATTGGCATTATATTTTCATTTTTCAGCCTTGGTTTCCTAATTTTTCAGTTTTGGACAAGAATTTTCATTTCAGTGCATCCCTTATGGTTTATACAAACTTAATAAAGACAGAGAAGGAAGAAAAACAGGAACCAGATCATTGAGAACTGTATGACTTTACCCTTCCTGAACTTAGTGAAACATGTCATGAGTAAACAAAAGTTATTTTTTCATTCAAAAGATAATTACATGCTACACTGTTGTATGTCTAATGCCTTTGTAATGTTTTAATACATTGACAGCTGAAGCTAGAGGTAATAAATGTCAGTGGATGTTCTCTGGAGACCTTGATTTTTCTTTCTCTTGATACAAAATGGTAAATGGACTGTGTTTGTATTACCCTTTCTCTAGTCTTCTGACTATTCAAAGCTCTGTTACATTACATGTCACATTCACCCATTCACACACTGATTGCAGAGGCTGCCATCAATAGAGCCCATCAGTTTTCACTCATCCCCTCTGGCTGCAGCCAGTTGGGGTGGGTGGGGTCAAGTGTCTTGCCCAAGGACACTCAGACATGTGGACAGCAAGACCTGTGATCAAAACATTGAGCCACTGAGACACAGCCGCCCCTGTGCCCAAATTAATCCCACCAAGGTGAC